CGAAGGAGTTTTGCGGTCCGATTAGCTGTCGCATTAATCATGCTTCGCAAGACAATGGGAATTTGTCGTTCAGTCATGTTGCTTCTTAACTGTACAGCACATCTGAATCGCCCACAATAGGCGGCTGACTATCAGGCGAAGGAGCATCGGTCAAATTTTGCCAGTTGCATCATTGGAGAAGCAAACTATAATTCACAGCTGACTGAAGTATAGTCACATTTTACAAGTCAGAGAGACAGAGTGTGTGTGTGTTGCGAGGTGATCAGCAATGACTTTAATCAAGTAAGCCGATTGTAGCAATCAGGTTAACCTTGGAAGCCTAAACGGCGAAGGCGCGATAGGTTTATTGCAGCACAAAAGAACAGTATGAGAAAAGGAAGGAGGAGTGAGATAAGACGTTTCAGTCCGTTAAGTGATATACGTCTCAACACCACTACAAGACCTCGTGATGGCTGCAGTGCTTAATGGAAAAGGGAAAGCGAAGAACGAAGGAAGACACAATGGAGGAAATGCGATGATTGTGGGCTGAACAGGGAAGGGGAAAGGAAGGAGGAAGAGAAGGATTTTAAAAGTTGTTTTTTGGAAAAAGGCTTTTTGTTTATTTACTAAAAGATTCAAAAAAAAAAAAGAAAACGTAAGAGCTAGTAAGTGAATTAACTGTCCACCGCACTGAAAGATCCTCTCCTGCTGGGCGAATTCTGTGGGTACGATAAATTCCACTGGTGCTACAGTTGGGTCAATCGGTCTTATGCCCAAATGAAAGTTTTGCGAGTTGAGTAATAGCAGCGTGTGTTTCTCAGGCTCACTTCAATCACGGCATTTCTGTTTCAGACATAAAATTTTCTGGCTACGGACCAGGGACCGCATCGGGAACAGTTTATGTGGCCTTCCAAGAACAACTTCTAATCTAACGGCCTGCAGCGCGCCCTAATGCGGTACAAATCTTATTAAAAGACAATGACGGGCCCGAAAGACAACTGCGCTGAGCAGATGTAGTCGGCCCATCACGTCCCGAAATTACGTCTTAATAATCTTCACAGCGCTAAAAGTACTCTCCGGTTGCTCGAGCTCCAAGAAGCCTTCGAATTTTAATATTACAGGCACACATCCGTCCCCCCCCCCTCCCCCCATCCCGTCAACGTGTACGCGGAAACTTAATTGCCATTATGTATAATGAACATTCGATTAAAAGTAAATTTTGAGGAAAAAAAAAGGAGT